GCCCAAATCCACAAATACTCAGTGTCTTTGTAGACAACTCTGCACTCATGATTCCATGCGCCTTAAGCCAGATCTCAACTCCTTACCTAATGTGATGCAAACTCTGCAAGTAGTTATCACATTGCATTATTTGGTGAATCATGATGAGAAGTCTACTTGCTCAACACAGACACTATGTTTTGCTAGATATTTTTGATGTGCAGTTAAACTGTGGGTGCAAAACCCACGGATGCAGAAAGAGCTGACTGTTTTGTTTTTTCTCTCACCAAGGTAAGCACAAACAGAATGTTAAGGAAATCCTTGTTATGCATTTGGAGACTGCACGTCCAAACTTAACAGGGTTTTTTTCCTTTCAACCTCGGCATAGGGCCTACCCAGGCCCTCCCTAACAAGGTCTGGGTCATAGCATGGGATTTACTTGGGTGCTCTCAGCTGTTGGGATGATAGTGGCTGCCTCTTATAGTTTCTTTTTCTCTATATTCTCTAGAGATCTGGTAGTCTTTGGGATTCCATTCTCTTGCTGTAGCTACTGATTCTTGCACTAAGCATTCACTGATTAAGCTACTCCGTGTTTCCTCTTTCCTGATGGGACCCAGACAAACTTGTCTGAACTGAGCAGAGATGGTTGTGTTCAAGGACAGAAACACAAAATTTTGAATCCAGTTTATTATTCCCATTTCACAGATGGCAGATGGAAACCAGGGGGCATGTATGTTCTGCAGCAGATGCTGTTAGTTCCCCGGCCTCTACCTCTTTGGTGCACTTCTAGCTATTTACATCTGTCTGTGTCTGAGGACTTTGCCTTGCTGTCAGTGTCTCTGTGGTAGGCAGAAATGCCAGGGTAATTAACACAGCCAGAGCAGCCTTCAACCAATGAGTGAGAGCTGTGGGACACCTGGCATTCTTGCTGCTGGGGATGGGACCCTCTGGATGCGGGGCTTCTCTGATGGTCTGAGTTTTCCTTAGTGGTGTGAGGCTCATCAGCCACCGCAGTAAGTGGTACCATAATTCACCCTTTGTTGCTGCATCTTCTCTGCTCCCCTGCCCCACTTCTCTGTCAGTGTTTCTTTTACCTTGCAAACAAGCCGCCTGCACTCAGATCCGTTTCTCTGCTCCGTTTTCCAGAGCAACCCAGCCAAGACTTAGGTCCAAGATCATACAATGAGGCAGTAGTAGAGAACGGTCTGGAATCTCACTCTGTTACCCCTTAGGTTCTATGAACATCATGGCTTGACTCTCATGTTCTTAGCAAGTCCTGGTTCAAACAAGACTTTGCATGTGAATTGATGTCTACTTCTCAGCAAATTATAAAGTTTCCAGCTTCCTAACTGTCAAAACTGTCAGTCACTACCTCCTCAGACACACACCCCTCCAAGAGAAAACACTTCTGCTAAGGTTCCTGTTCACTGGGAGGAGGTCTAAGTGTCCTGTTTGTACTAACCGGGAGGCCCAGTGCCAGACACTTCATGAAGCCCTTACTGATCTTGGTTCATGCAATCTGTACCATGGTCCTATGCAGGAGGTCTTAGCTTGGTAATTCCTTCAATTCTAGGTCACATCATATGTTAGTTAATTTGGTGGTGGGGGGGGACGGAAGTCACTATTACATCCAATGAATGCATGCGTCACCCTGCTTTCAAAATGCTATCAAAAATTCTAGCGTGAAAAAGTGCCAGACTCTCTTAACAGTAAGACTTGGAGACATTCAAGCTTCCAAGGTTTAGCAATGTACCCGAGTTCACACAGGTCATAACCAGCAGAGCTGAGGTTCAAACCCAGGTCTTTTTGATCCAAAAACTATGTTAATGTGAGATGACTCAAACTCTTCATTCCTGTTTCAGTTTCCTCTATGGCTTTCCACCGAGGTCTCTGAGGCCAGGTGTGGTGGCTGCTGGGCCCACATGCATCCACCTGATCTCCAGCAGTTCTGAGCATTGTCTTTCTTCCAGAAAGGAAGTCTTGGAGCTCAGAGCGAATGGCCCTGCCTGAAGCAGCAGGACTGGGAAACCTGCGAGAGAGCCAGAGTGTTAGGCAAGTTGACACAGGGGGAATGGATGCTGTCAACGGGAAGAGGCAATTTAAGCAGCCAGTAGCTGGGGCAGCACCCCTGAGAAGGTAGAAGGAAGGGAGAGCTCATCTCCTTGAATATCTTCTCTCTTTCCTAACAGGATTCTAGAACATTCTCCTGAATAAAAATAGCAATGTGTATTTGCCAGGCTTTGTGCTAAACTTTAACAAACAATATCCTGGGTCACTCTTAAGACAATCGTCTGGCAGGTTCTGTTCCTATCTGGTTTGGGAGTGGAGGACACCTGGGTTTCTTCTAGAAGGTGATAGAACTGGCCTTGGCTCTACACAGTCTCTGTCAAGAGCTGTGTTTCTCGTTTCTGTAGAACAGTACTTTGGAATTATCAGAAACAAGAACAACAAACTGGCCCCAAACACCCCAAACCACGTTTCTCTCCACTGGTTTGTTTGAGTCTTTGATTCTTGGCACTAAGCAATCCTGTCTGGCACAGAAGTTTTCACCAAGGATTTTGTTTCCCCTCCGGGTTTATCCTGTTTGAATGTGATATTGGTGACAACATCTGCTTTGTATTTTCACAGAATCTTGTTCAAAGCATGTACTTGAAGCGTGACTGAGTATTTGGTTTGGGGACTAAGGGAGTCTGTGGTCTTTCTCTAATTGCCCATCTCCTCCCGGGTGCAGGGCTATCAGACTTGTGTGGTTCACCCGAGTCATCTGTGCCCCGAGACTGCTTCTCATCACCTCCCTGCCCCAACCCTAGGGAGGAGTCCATGTGGACGGCACTGCACACTCATCCCTCACATGTTTACCGATCCACGGGTTTATCTGTCAGCATTGACGGAGCAGCTCCTCTTTGCAGGCCATTATGCCAGTGACCAGGGAGTTCAAATAACAGTGTCCCAGCTTGAAGAAGCTCACAGGGTGGGGCATGGGGAGGATGAGGGAAAGGAAGAGGACTCTGAGGACACCACTGCAGCCTACACACCATTACAGAGGTCAGCACAGGGGTGACAGAGTTCCAAAAGAGGGCAGTTCCGGATGCATCTGCCTGAGGCCATAGCCAGGCTCCTGAATGAACTGATCATGGCAGTGAAGCTTGGCTGCGACACACACCCGTCAGGGAGCACTTGCAGAGACGATAGCGAGTTTCCAGACAGGTGCAGCTTAGCAGAAGGGAAGGCGGCCAGGTCCTGCCAAGTGCAGTTAAGAGGCGGCTGTGGGCAGCATGACCTGGAGAGAGCATGAGATTCAGGGGATACACTGAGCAGGGGCCTTCCCAGTACCTGGAAGTGTTTGTCTTCTTTCCTGAAAGCAGTAAGGAACCATAGGAGGACTCAAGCAGGGAGTGCTGCTGCTGCCCGATTCTTTGGGACTATAGAAGGGTGGCAAGGCAGTTGTTCTCATCTGAAGGGCAAGGACACCAGCAGTGGTAGACAGAGTGGAGTTGAGAGACATTTGGGGTGACTTTTCTGGGGTGGGAGTGTCATTTACTGGGATGGCAATGGGTGGTGGAGTGGGTGAGGCTGGGCTGGGGTGGATGAGGTCAGGTTGGAACTTGTTGAAATAGATGCGCTTGTGGGACAATTGGGGGAGAATGCTGGATATTTGGAGATAGAACTTCAGAGAGGAGTGACTTACAGACTTACAGACTTACAGACTCTGGCAACTCAACATGGCATCCTACAGCTACTGTGGGCGTGAGCGCTGATGCTTGTGTGTGAGAGATCTTTGGCTTAGCATAGAAACCTTGATTCTTTTTCTAACAAACCCTTTTCACTTGGAAAATTTGCCCATCAGTTTTGGGGGTAGGGGATGTGAAGTTGCCTTGCTGGTGGCTCCAACACTTGTAGCTTCCCCGGAGCGATGTGTCTTCCTACCTGTTTGGATGGGAGCCGATGTTGAAGTTTTTAGCTCTTTGCAGTTCATGAGTACATTCTGTGCATTTGGTATCTGTAGTCCTCTGACCATCACCAAGTCAACGGGATTCTAATATTCCTTTCCCTGATCCAACCAAAGCTCTTTGTAAATTGGACTCAGCAGGAGTAAGTCCAGTGACCTCATAAATAGTGGAAATGATTGCAAATCAGAATTCATATATGTTCCCAACTCAGTGGGCATCCTCTCCCCCGCAAAGGAAGCAATCAGCGCTTTCAAATTTCTGTTTGCCCTTTCACTCAGCTATGTTGGAAGAAAATATATAGAGAGATTTTGCTGTATAAGCTGAAAGGCCCACTTTCTCCTACTTAGGAAAAAAGAAAGAAAGATCCTTTGGCTGGCCCTGTGTAGTCAGGATGGTCCCACCTGGAGAACCACTGGAGGGGAAAGGATCTGACTGAGGTTCACAAAAATGATCTTCCATGGGCACCTGGGAAAAGATTTCATACTACCAGGAAATACTATAAAAATTGTGGCAGGAATCAGCATTGTGCTGCAGTGGGTTATGTTTTGGCCTGGGAGACCTGCATCCCATATGATCACTAGTTCAAGCTCTGGCTTCTCTGCTTCCAATCCTGCTCCCTGCTAACATACATGGAAAAGCAGCAGAGTATGGCTTGAGTGTTAAAGCCCCTAGCAATCACATGGGAGACCTGGATGGAGTTCCTGACTCCTAGTGTCAGCATGGCTCAGCTGAAACTAGGCCGTTTGTGTGTGAACCAAACTGTGGCCATTTGTGGAGTGAAGCAGTGGATAGAAGATTGTGTGTGTGTGTGTGTGTGTGTGTGTGTGTGTGTGTCTTTCCCTCTTTCTGTGTAACTCTGATTTTCAAATCAATCAATCAATAAGTCTTTAAAAGGACATTCATAGCATACACTGCTCATACTCCATCGATAGCTGTGTTTCTCCTCTCACCGCATGTTACATTTCACTGGGGCTCATTTTGTTCAGGGACATGATTAGGTCCCTCTTAGGGTTGCCCCTCAAAAGATCCTCATTATTCTTTTTCTTTTCCTGTTTTACAGAGATCAAAGGATTCTGGGCCCTTTAAAGATGATGGACCAAGTGGATGAAAGCAGCTTGAGGCCCTAAATTCCTGCAGAGAGTAGAGTACCACTCATAGAACTGTGATGAAGATGAGCAAGAGGAAGAGGTGAGTCTCTCTCTCTCTCTCTCTCTGTCTCTTTCTCTCTCTCTCTCTCTTTCTCTTTCTCTCTGATTCATTTTTCAGGGCCTGTACTGCAATGTAGCAAGTAGAGTCATCAGCAGTGTGACATCCCATACAGGTGTTGCTTTAAATTCCAGCTGCTCCACTTCTTATCCAACTCCCTGCTAGTGTGCCCAAGAATCTGTGCAAGATGGCACAAGTGCCTGGGTCCCTGGTAATGTGAGAGACATATTCATGGCCATTTGAACCATTTGAATAGGACTGAACCAGCAGGTGGAAGACATCTCTCAAGCAAACAAAATGCTTTTAAAATTTTATTTGAAAGGTGGGTTTACAGGAGAGAGAGAGAGAGAGAGAGAGAATATCCACTGGCTTACTCCGCAGATGTCTGCAGATGTGCACAATAGCCAGGGCTGGGTCAGGACAAAATCAGAAGGCAAGAACCTCTTCCAGATCTCTCACATAGGTGGAAAGGGCCCAATTACTTGAGCAACCTCTGCTACTCTTCCCAGGTCATCAGCAGGGAGCTAGATTAGAAACTGGTGCTTATATGGGATGTCAGCATTTTAGGGGATGGCTTAGCTTGTTATGTCACAACACCAGCCTAGCAAATCTTTTGTATAGGTAACAGTAAGAGTTTGGAATTCTTGGACTTGGGAGTTAGCTTATCCTTCCTAAAAGGTATTTCTTGACTGAGTACACTTTAAAGAGCCCTGATTTTGTTTGTACAGAAAAGGCTTTTTCTTACCTTTTTTTTTTTTCTGCTTCCCTCACCTTCCCTGTTCTTTTCCATACAGAGAAATGTATCAATCCAGTAACTTCGGTTCTAATGTATAAAGGTTCCATAAGATCAAGTGAGGGCACAAGATCGGTTGGGAAAGAGCATGGGTCGTCTTGCTTTCGGGCTGCCTTGACACTTCCTGTAGCTGACAAACTACTTCCTGTCCAGCCTCTATCGCTTATATCTGCAACGGGCAGATATGAATAAAAGGGATTGCTATGAGCAATACTATCTATGAAAGCCATTTATAAACTAGGTACTCACCCATTTTCTATCACAAAACCCTGGATCCTGGGAAATGTAATGAGAAGAAGGGGCTTGTTCAGCTCTCAGTTTTGGAGGCTGAAAGTCCAAGATCCAGCAGCCCCAAGGTTCAGCTTCTGGCAAGGGCCTCCTGGCAGGTGGTGTCAGGGATGCAGGCAAGAAGGGCCATCTGGGAAACAGGGAGCCAAGACTCAGGGCTCAGGTTTGTTCTTTTGTAGTAATTCACTCAACTCGGGTACCAGCCTACATCCCATGAAAACTGCCTTAATCCCCTTGGGGGCAGTGCCCACCGTGACTTCACCATCTCCTACCAGGCTTTTCTTCTTAAAGACTCTGCCCTCTCAATACCACCAAGCACCCAGCACATCAACCCTTGGGGGACCAAGCCCATCCAGACCATAGCGAACCGTGAAATTCTGAATACCTGAGGAAGGGGTGGGAAGAATAACCATGCAAGCCTTTCTGAGTGATGTCTTCATTCCTGCTATTCTGATCTCCCCTTTGCAATTTTGGGGACCCACATTTTTTTCCCTCAAAAATATCAGCTTTACTTCCTCAATCCTATTGTGTTGTACTGCTGGGAATATTCTTTGGGTAGCACTTGTAGGAAACAAGGTTGATTTTGCCCACTCTCAATGCTTTTTCCCTCCTTGTCTTTCAGCTGTTGTTAGATTTATGCAGGGAGAATTCATAACAGTTAATAAGTCAATTAAATTTCATTTTGTTTACCAAAAACTCTACATTTTTGAAAACTTCCAAGAAGCAAAGCCATATCTATTCACACAAATTGCAGTGATTTTTTTCTGAATAAATAATTTCTTTTTTGCGTTTTATTGTTTTCGTGTCCTAAAAGGACAGAGCGATTCACTCATCTTGGAATTTCCATAATTTAAGAGCAATCATTTGCTTTTTCTAATTTGTCCTAATGAGCTCGCATTTTTTTCTTTATCAGACCCATTTTCGCTGGCAAAAGGTCATCATGGGCAATCATCCATGACTGCTGGGTATAAATTGTTTTCATAACAATTTTCATTTGCCTTGGAAACTGCGCCAGGGCGGAAACATGGCCACTTTTTATCAATGACAGTGCACATCATGTTTCCCCATTTGCTTTGGGAGTGTTAGCCTTCCAAAGAATAATAAACTGTGGACTCCATAATGTGAACTAGTGGTGTGTGTGAACAAGACTCCTTCCCTGTCTGGAGCTTTCACTTACAGATCTTGCCCTCCAGGGATGCAGAGAGATCTTGCCTCCTCTCTGACCCACTCCAGGCTCCAGAACCTCTTCTCACTCCCCTCACACATTCCTGGTGAGTTTTCCTAGGTCTTAGACACCAGTGTCCCCTGCCTTTGTACCACACTGACAAAGGTGGGTCAAGTCCACCCCCACTTCCAGCCACAGCTCTTTCTTAAGGTCTGCATTAAGGTTGGAACTCTGTGACGGAGAAATAGAAAGTTTCAGAAAACGCCCCATTCACACACTGGCCTTAATTCTGAAAAATCTCATGAGTGTAATCTATTGATTCGTTCATCTAACAAACGATGTTAGGCTTCTATTCTGCTCCAGGAACTGGACACCAGCAAGCATACTCCTTGGCACAGGTGCTTTCAGCCCAGTGGTGGAAGTGGACATTGGTCTAGGAAATTGCATTATCATTTGGAAAAGTACAGAGGCAAAAGCAACAGATGTCTGCTGAGACCCAAGTCAGGCAGAAACAACACTGAGTGGAGGAGTTGAATCTTGTCCTATGCTGGTTCCACTTATGAATGTTTTATTGTATGATAGTGGGAAAGCTATTCATGTGCAATAGTTACTGTGCTTTGGGTTTTGGCCTTTTCCTGTTACCCTGTGGTGATGCTGGGCAGCAGCAGCCACCTGCAGCTCCCAGGCAGCCACAGTGAGGAGGTAACAGCCTGTATCCACAGTGTGCCATTGCTAAACTAAGATGCCCAGCAGATGACTTGACTGAGGAGCATGTGTGCAACAGGAGTCACTCATGTAAATTAAAAAATGTTAGTTTCTTTCTTTTCTTTCTCCCTACCTTTCTTTTTGAATAATGTGAGGAGGGGGGGAGAGAGACAGAGAGATCTATTCGTTGCTTCACTCCTCAAATGGCTGCAAGAATTGGGGCTGGGCCAGGCAAAAGCAGGAGCCCTGCATCTCCCCTGTGGGTGACAGGGCTCAAGCACCCCTGCTTTCCCAGGTGTGTTAGCGGGGAGCTGGACTCCAATGGAGAAGCTGCGACTTGGAACATTACTCCAGTATGAGATGTCAGCTTTGAAGGTAATGATATAACTTGCTGCACACAACCCCAGCCCCCTCCTGTATAAATTTTAAAAAGTACATTGTAGAATTGATTTTTTTTCCCTTTTGGAATCTGTTTCTATGAATTTTAACCCACCCATGTAATAGGAGCATGTAGCCATGACTACCAAGCACCGAGTGGCTCTCTCCCTCTCTGTACCTCCAAGTTTCCCTGTCATCACACCTTCTGTCAACCCACACTCCTTGGCAACTTTGGTCTGTTTCTCACCTCTGCGGTTGGGTCTTCTTAAGAATATCAAATGCACAGAATTAGGCAGCATGCAGCAGTGGTGATTGGCTTCTTCCACCAGGCATCCTAGCTTGAAGGTTCCCAGGAGTCCTTGTATTTGTCAGTAGTTTACTCGTCTTCCCCGCTCAGCTTTCTGCCCAGTGTGGATGTGCTGTAGCTTATCCATCCGCTCAGGAGAACATAGGAGCTGATTCCTACTCCTGGTTGCAATGGAGAAGTTGGCTATGAATATTTGTGTCCAGACTGTACTTAAATCCGAATTTTCTTCTAACAAGGGTGAAAGCCCGGCAGTAGCATTGCTAGGGTGTGTGTGTGTGTGTGTGTGTGTGTGTGTGTGAATTTTACAAGAAGCCACTTGGCATTCCCATGCCGATCTGCAGGAGTGCTGGTTGCTCTTCCTCTTCTCTGATGCTTGGTATCATCGGTGATTTTTGCTTTAGCCATTGCATGGATATGAAGTGACATCTCATCATTTCCCTAAATGCATGTTTTTATAGTTGACTTCTTCATATCTTCTTGGTGAAGTTTGCCTATCTGTTCCCTGTGCTTTCAGAATTTTTTGTGTATCTTCAATGCAAATCCAGTGTCAGAGGTGAGGTTTGAAAATATTTTCCCTCAGTTTGCAGCTTGCCTCTTGATTATCTCGTTAATGTCTTCAACAGGACAAGAATGTTTACATTTTTATTAAGTCCAACTTATCAACTTCCATTTTTTGTGGACCATTTTGGTGTTATTTCTAAGAACCCCATGTGTTTTAACCTTTGAATAGCTGCCCAAGGAAAAGTAAAAAGAAATAGGCAAAATTAATTCTTATTAATCTGTTCTATTTGACCCCGTGTTTCTAAAACACTGCAATTGAAGAACATAATCATTGCTAATATCATTAAGGAGATGTTTACATGTTTTCATTATGCTTGATCTACAGAGCTGGCTGTGCACCGTGTACTTATTTAAGAGCCATCTCCAGTTGACATGAGCCACACTTCAAGTGATCCAGAGTTACCTGAGTTGGAGACGCTAGACCAGCTGAGAAGTTTTCCAAGGTCATGGCCAACAATCCCTTAACCCTATCCCAATAGCGAGGGTACAAAGTGCAGAGTTATAGATTTGGGGAGTGGAGCGTTTATTCAGAGAAAACTTACTGTGAGTTCTGCCTCCTGTCTGCTGGAGCAGTGGACCTGCTGAAGGGACCCTAGGACTCGGGGAGCTAGGGAGAGGAGCTTGGAAAGGAAGACGGCTACGTGTATGCTCCAGGGGGAGCTTGCAGGAAGGACTTTGTTGGAAGTTAATTCCCACCTTCTCCAGTTTACAGAGGTGTGTCTAGAGAGACACAGGCAGTAAATATATACCTGTCAATCTTTAAAAAGAAACAAAAAGATTCTCCATACGATAATGATATGTGTGAGAATAATGGAGCCCTGCTATAGGAATAACCATGGTGTATTAAAGGAGACGAGGGGAAGTTTTCAAATTAAAGAGAGATTTTATTGCCTGCCACAGCCTGGAGCTAGCAGCTGGGAACCTGAAACTCAATCAATGCAGCCCAAGTCTTCCATGTGGATGGCAAGGATGCAGATACTTGAGCCGCTGCCTCTCAAGGTCTGCATTTGCAGGATGCTGGAGTCAGGATCTGGAGTCAGGACTCAAGCCCAGGTAATCCAATGTGGCAGGTGTCTTAGCTCCTAGGCTAAATGCTGGCCCTGGCTGCCATTTAAAATCAAGCTCAGGTATTTGATTCAGTTACTGACTTGAAACTCTGTGGGGACTTAGAAGGATACAAGATTTCATATTTCTCACTTGCTTAGGGTCATGGTCCCGAGTCTCATCTTCCTGCTTCCAAATTCGTATTGCTCCCTCTGCTGTTGGAACTTACTCATTGGCTTTGGGTACAGTGCCTTGAATCAGCTCTGTTCACAGCACACTGCTCAGAAACCTGGCAAATACAAAGTCCTTGTGGCTCTCACTATAAGATAACAAAATGGTAGAAGATACTTCCTCTATCGTGCCCAAAGGTGTCACAGTGGGGGTCACAGCGATAAGTGAGACAAGGAGTAGAGAACAGTTTATCTGTCTCGGGTGATTTGGGAGCCCTTGCCTAGATATTGTTTAGTTCTCCAAAAAGGAAAATCAAATGCATTCTCAAGGGAAATTGGTCAGTTGGAACTTCTGAAATATCATCGGAACCTTATTGATTACAAGTCAGTCAATCAATCATCAAATGTGTTTGGTGGAAAATATTAAAGATTGAATTGGATAATTTAAAAAAAAGATTCATTTTATTCATTTGAAAAGCAGAATTACATAAAGAGAAGACAGAGAGTGGTAGAGATAAAGAGAGAGAGAGTGAAAGAGAATCTTCCATCTACTGGTTCACTCCCCAAATGAGCTTCAATGACCAGGGCTGGGCCAAAATAAAGCCAGGAATCAAGAGCTTCTTCAGGCTCTCCCATAGAGGTGCAGGGTCCCAAGCACTTGATCTGTCTTCTTTCCTAGGGGCATTATCAGGGAGCTGGACTGGAAGTGGAGTGCCCTTGTTGGGTGCTGACATCACAGACTACAACTTTATCTGCTACTAGATGGCAGCCATTAGATGATTTAATAATTCAAGGATGATTCATTGAACCAAGTCCCATGCTAGAGACCTGGAACTGTACTGTATCAAGTCATAGTCTCTGTTCTCACAAAGTTTATGGTTTACTTGATGAGACCTATGAAAGAAGACATATACTGGGCTTGCCACGAGACAGGAAGTCCCTGCATGAGGCTGTTGTGAGACAGGAAGTCCCCACAGGAGGCTTGCTGCGAGACAGGAAGTCCCCGCAGGAGGCTGTTGTGAGACAGGAAGTCCCCACAGGAGGCTTGCTGCGAGACAGGAAGTCCCTGCAGGAGGCTGTTGTGAGACAGGAAGTCCCCACAGGAGGCTTGCCGCGAGACAAGAGGTCCCCGCAGGAGGCTGTTGTGAAAGTCTCTGGTGCTTTGGATGTCCACCAAGGACATAGTGTTTAAAGACTTACAATTTTGACTTTCTAGCATTTGGGATTCAAATTTGGAAAGATTTGGAAAGAACACAGCTGTCAAAGGTCGCAGATCCTGTGAGAGAAATGAAATAGTGTTATTTGGTAAGACCATAATAATAAGGCAAGTAAAGGCAAGAAAAAATCTAAACCATCCAATGACAAGTGCGGCAACCAGTTAACATGCATCAATCACGGGAAGTAGATAAAATAATTACCATTCACTAAAAATTCATTTAAAGGTTCATCCCACCCATGGAAGCAAACATTCATATATCCCAGATGATGGTTAAAAGTGGGTACTAGTTTGATGTAGCCTTTACGTGATAATGGTTATCACACACCAGTCTGATTTCCAGTGATGGGAATCATCACTAACCAGTGGTCCCCTTGCTGAGCTCTGAAATTTCTCGTGGGTTTTGCCTGTAGACCATGTTTCCTACAGGTTGTCCCCAGCCTGTGTTGGAGCATGGGCAGGATTATCAAGGCCAACTAGTTCCCAGGGAGATGTGAGCTTTGGCTTGGGAACTCTGAATTCTGCCAAGCCTGGAATTGCCCTTACAGTCTTGGATGCTTCCACCCAATCTCCCTCTACCCAGTCTCCTTCCTTTTATCTCTCTCTCCATCACATTCCTCGGTGTCACACTCCAGCCTTCCAAGTTCCCTCCCCTGTCTTTGGCACATTGGCTCCTGTCAGAAGACCCTGAAAATAATGTTCCAGAGCACATTTTCAGACATCTCTCAAGGCCTCATTTGGATCCAGAAATCCCTTTTTAGTGGAGGGGTGCCAAACAAGATTGTAAGGCATCACACACGTCCCTGTGTGAACAGGGTCAAGTCAGTTAATCTCAATTTTCTAATGTATAAAACGGAATACTGGTGTTTTCCCACCCAGGTTTTCTTGTTTTAAAGCAGCATCTGGCACAGAGTGAGCTGATTGTGGCCAGCAGCTAAGGTGCCTTGCTTTTCTCCTTCACCCCGGCATCCCTTGTCCCCATCAGAGAAAGGGGGAGACCTAAGTCAGGTGCTCGTTTCTCACGCTGGGATGTCCAGCCTACGAAGCTGTGCCACCAAGGTCTTGGCTTCTTGCTCTGCCCTCTGGTTTGGTGCCCTTCTCTTGGTTCTGGTTGTGCAAGACCCTGTGTGGTTCCCAGTGGCTCTCTTGAGCATCTCTGTTTCAGGAATACCCTCCCTGCCAGCTGCCTGCCCATCCTGGCAGCTGCTTATGGCTGCTGAATATGATGGACTTGGATTCAGTGTGAATACAATTGTCCTGGGTTCAGGGAGGAAAAAGAGGGGTGTTGCCTAGCTGAAAATGAGTGCCCGTTGCCTCCCCTAGGAATCTTGGGTTCTGCCCTTGGAGTGCCAGGCTCTCTGTCTCCCTCTGGAGGCAGCTATTGACAGAGGGAGAGGGAAAGGAAAAAGCCAGGCTACAGAGGGAAAGTGGTTGTCACACCAGGGAGAAAGGGCTGGGAGGGAGGTGGAGGGTGGTCTGGCCCGGATTCCTCTTTGGGTTTTCTAAGACTAGGCATTCTCACAATCAACTCTGTTTTGTGCAAGGTTGTCTGGGTAGGATGCCTACCCCTCGCACCCCAAAGGGGTCTGACTGATGAAGGCATGCTTTTGGTCCATGTGTCTTTCCTGCCTTCCCACTGGACAGCAAGGCTCTCAGCAGGCAGATACCGTACCACTTGTTCCACTGCTGCCCACAGTGCCCAGAATAGGGCCTGGCTCCTGCAGCTGTCCCAGACAGATGTGCACTTGACAATGAGGCTCAATCAAATCTTCTGCTCATAGAAGCTTTCTATATATTCCCTACATGATGTCACAGGAACACTTTTAATCCACGCTCAGTATTCCGGTCTCAGTGTGCTAAAAATGTTTGGTGGCTGAGGACGGGGGACCCTCTTGGAGACGAGCACTGGCAGGTACCTTGTAAGCTGCCCTGGGGTATTTCAGGTTGAAGGATGTTGCTAGGAGAACCCCGGTACATAACACGAAGCAATGTCAGCACCTGCCCCCGCACAGGCATCTCCTGCCCTGCTCTCCCTGGTTCCACCAAACAGCCCATTTTGAAGAGGACACTGAGGCCTTCCCCATGGCTGCAGGGATGCAGGGGGCTTAGTTCTTTCTTGGCCATTTCGCAAGCATTGTCTCACCGATTCTTCAGTAAGATGTCAAATACGTGAGGGTAGACATTTGCGAGGTGTTTCATATTACAGCCTAGCCTGGGCTGGGTGTTCACGAAGCATTTTGTATTGCTATACTCTTACATTCATCACACAGCTTCCATGAGCCTGAGTCTTTCTCATGTGCTTCCCCATTTACTCAGGCACTCCAGGGCCCAGGATTTGTGGTCATCACTGAACAGGTGAGCCAATCCACACCCAGAGACATCAAGGAACCAGTTTCAGGCCACACAGCTCATCAGTGGCTATGCTGGTATTGAACTCCACATCAGGTTCCATTTCTACATAATGTATGGAATAACAAATGGTAGAGGAACCCCATGGGCAGGTGCTGCTTTCAGAAAGAAAGATGTAGAAAATATTTCCTTCAAATTGGAGAAAAAAAATGGTCCCCATGAATTTCTTCTAGGCTGGGAATTGAATGAAATGAATGAGCAAAAAATTTAGTCACCAAGAAGAATAATGTTTCAATGTATTTTTTTAAGATTAAAATTAATTCTAAAAATCTCTGATAAAAACATTCCCTGTTTTATTAAAGACAGGAGGTATTGACAAGGCCAGGACCAGATGAAGTGGGAGGAGCCAGCAAGTTCAGGATTGAGGTCTTCTGGAAGCCTTTTTCTTTTTTCTTTTTTTTTTCTTTTGCCTTCCTTTTTGGCTTTGATATTTTTCTTTTTATTCATTTGAAAGGCAAATCTTCCATCTGTAAGATCATCCCACAAATGCCCTCCTAAATCCAGGAGCTTGGAACTCACCATGGATCTCCCACATCGGTGACAGGGACCAAGTACAGGAGCTGTTACTGCTGCCTGCCAGGCCTGCAGCTGGAATTGGAAGCAGAGGCAGGATTTGAAACCATCCCTTCTAACACAATAGCCATTGTCTCAGGCAGTGTCTTAACCGCTCCACCAAACGCCTGCCCCCACCTTCGGGGCTGCCAGGGGCACGTGTCTCCTTCTTTGCAGCTAAGTGTGGCCGTAGGGTTGGGTTCTGGCTGGGGGAACATCAGGCAACCTGATGTGAGCCCCACCAGACCTGGTCATGAAACATCCAACATTCGATGATGCATTCTCTTTCCCTTTTGCAACTTGATTCAGATGAACACAGAGATCCAGAAGACCAAGAATGGAGACGACAGAGCCCCCAGATAAATAGAATCTGGGAAATGGGGCCAGCATGGTGCAGCACGCTGCTTGTCGGCCATGTGTCACCTGCATCCCGATATGGGCAATGTCCTAGCTGCTCTATTTCTGATTCAACTCTCTGCTTATGGCTTAGGAAAGAAGGAAGTATGGCCCAAAGCCTTGGGGATGCTGCGCCCACATGGCTCCAGCTCAGC